GGTGAGAACAAAAAAGGATTGGAATCTATTTGAAAATCTATTAGACACACGGGGAGATGAAAGACATGGGGTTGCTAAAATATATAGAATCTTAACGGCACTAGACACTGACACAAAATTAATTTATATAGAGAAATGGGGAAAAGATATGGGGAGGGAGATCAGTGAGGAGCAACAGAGGAAAATGCTTAGATTAATTCACGAAAATATTAGTATGAGAGAAGTGGAATTAAATTATAAGTGTTTAGTTAGATGGCACATTGCACCGAGTGTGGAGCACAAGATGAGTAGGGAGAACTCTCCACTATGTTGGAGAGGTTGTGGTGAAGTAGGTACACTATTTCACATTTGGTGGGAATGTTCAAAGATACAGGTGTTCTGGGGGAAAATTGTCCATTTAATGAGGAAAATTACTAAGATTGATGTTGGATTGGGCCCAGAGTTATGTCTCCTTCATATATCTGAGCTCACAGTAAGATCATATAAGGACTCAGGGATTTGGCACTTTCTGAGTGCAGCTAAAAGCTTGATTCCTAAGTTCTGGAAAAAAAGGGAGGTCCCGACGGAAGAAGATTGGTTGATCAGAACGAATCAGTTATGTGAGATGGAAAGACTTTATTATACACACATAGAGGGGATGGAGATATATCATAAAAAGTGGGGAAAATGGGAAGTATTTAGACAAGAACTCTTGATGAACAATGATTTTTAGAAATGAGTTTTAGGGGAAAAAAAAAAAAAAAAAAAAAGGGGATAGTGCTATATGTTTATCTATTCTTTCTCTCTCTTTTGGATTTGAAAAGAAACGGCAGAGCGGGATGGAGGGGGGAGGGGGGATACTGGGATAGGCGTGGGCGGGGAGGGGCTTTATGGGGGATTCGGGTTGTGGGAATTAAATAAATCATGAGGAATATAATGATTATTTTATGAAGAAATGTTTGTTAATTATATCTGATTGAAACCTAATAAATATTTATAAATTAAAAAAAAACAGGTAGATTTTTGCAAATATTGATAATGCTATATTAAACAAACCAAAAGTGAGTAAATAGCAGGAGGTCTTTGTTTTAAATACACTTTAAAACACAAGCATTTTTTCACATTTTATTGTGCATTGCATTAAGACAGTCCACACTTTTTGAACAGTTTGTCAATTAATCTCATAGCACAATTTCTCCAACACAGTACACCAAAATGCACAGTGTTCACAAGTTTGCATTATGGTGGGCTATAACACAGTTTGCTGTATATACATTATGCATTGGAGTGATATTCAAAATGAATGGCAGCATACCACAATGCACATACAGTATATCCATGTGTTAATGTGCATTGCAGTAAGATGCATGTGTGTCTGATTTTGGTGCAGAAACCCCTAGGCGGGTCTTCAGCCAACTTCAGCGAGTCTGGGCTTCTAGTGTGTTGCTGTACCTTTAAAGAGTTAGTTCACTTTTTCAGAAAAAAATGAAAAAGTGAGCAAACATTATATACCCTCTTCAGTCTCCACTATACTTATGTGTGTTGAGCTGTTAGTGCCCACATAGGTGGTACAGGGGTCCGGAGATTTAAAATCCCCACTCTTCTTTTTTTTCTGCAGTGCTTTCAGGGCAGATCAAAGCTATATTCTGTGTTGGCACTGACCAATCTGAATCTCTGTGATCTATCCCAAAAGTGCTGCAGACAGAAGAGGGAGAAGAGCAGGGACTTCAAATCCCCAGATCACTGCACTGGCATTGCATTGACAGCTTATCACTCAAGGAGGTAACTATGGTGGGGAGATTGTACAGTGTTAGTTCACATTTTCATTTTTGGCTGAAAAGGTGAACTTACACTTTAAGGAAGATGGAGCTAATCTAATGCTGTCAATGTAACCATTGTTTATAATATATATTGTGTCCCAGATTAGGAGCTCATATAGTTTTAGAGTTAGGGATCACACTTTGCAGAAGTACCTTGATATAGCAATGTGGCTTCACATGTATTTGTAAATGTTTGCCACAAAAACCTCTATTTTCATCTGAAATATTTAAGCAGTTAAAGTTGGGTTTTTGTACTGATCAGCTGGAAAGAATGCTATGATTTTTTTTTTCTGCAACATTTAAACAATGTGAAAGAGTGTGCCTGACTGTTATCACATGTGGCAGTTTCACTAACTGCCACAACAGAATTACTGTATAACTGAATCAGAAGGAAACATGCCAGAACAACCATTCCATCAAGTATATGTGCTTTAAATGATATGGACTGGTGATTTTGTATCTTTGGTTTGGTTTGTATCTTTGGTTCCAATCTTACAAGATGCTTTCTGTTGTTATATTTGTGCTCCTTAACTCCTTCTGAGTTAAATTAGAACTACATTTTTTTTCATTTTGAATAGAGTAAGTGAGGGTTATGACCCATGGAATTTCTGTTTTTCCATCTGAAGAATTTCCTGTCCCATAGTCAAAAAGAGGAAATCTATCCAAAATGAGGGAATCTCACTTCCTCCTATATCTGTTCTTTCTATGTCATTAATATCTTCCTATTTCCTTCCTCTCGTGCTTCTTTCTGATTTTCAAACCTACTAAACCCTTGTCTTCTTTGAAGACCTACCCATGATACATCTTGGTCACTTTAATATAAGGGAACCCAACATTAAATAATCCACAAAACATTTGTTCTAAAACAAAATAAAATCCACACAACTCACTAGGCTCACCATTAACATTGATTTTTTAGAGATCTAGCCTCCCCTCTCTCTAACCATAACCTCTAACTGTCAGGGACCCCAGACCTTACCGCGGCGCATGGGTCTGTGCATGCACGTTATGCCGGGGCGCACTAGCATGTGAGCATTAGGACCTGGGCACCTGCGACGGCAGCGGTGGTCACACATGTGCACTCGCTATCGTGGATGCGCGCCTGGCACCAATGTTACCGAACCCGGCTTGTGACCAGTTTATCCTTCTGCCTACCGCTTGTACCGTTCTGCCTCCGCCGCTACCGACCCGACCTGTCCGACTCTGCTCTCTCTACCTCCTTACATCAGGCTCTCACCTGCTATACACCTCCGGAAAGTGCCCCTACCACAGCTGGGTGCACCCAGGGGCCGCGACCTGGTTTTGTCCTGCTCCAAATCCATCCCCACCATCAGGGGCCCTGGTTAACAAGCAGGATGGGGCTTAGATTCCGCGCCTTGGGGAATTCCAGTTTGTGGAGCGCTAGAGGCTACCGCTGGCAGGTCCATAACACTAACTATTAATATCCCTACCACATATCTTCCCATACATTTTCTGAAACTAGCACATTTGCATAGAAACACTTATGATGTTAACCACAGTCTAATTTCAAACACCCTTGCTACCTTCACTTTCACTCCAAAATCCCTTCTTCTAACCTAGCCACCCAGATCTATACAAACAATTGCCCTAGATATGGTTGTCAGTGCCGTCTGGTCAAAATGTGGCATTACTCCCATAGGAGCTGCAGGAATACTGTTCAGGTCCTTCCCAAGTACTTTGTTCTGCATCCAGCCACATAGGCTCATTCACATATTTCTCCAATAACAAGTCTAGCGGTGTTGTTTTTGTTGTTTTCATTTTTGGAGAACTTTGATAGGGGTGTGGGAGATGAGTGGGATACGCCAAAAATAGGAACTATGTACACTTGAGGACTTTATCTAATCTTCAGAGCAAGCTATGTCAGAGTCCATGCTTGAATCAAACAGGGGAATTCAGGTTTCAGGCAGTAGTAAAATGTAGTAGTAGTAGTAACTGTGTAGTAGTAGTAGTAGTAGTAGTAACTTATTTAGAGTCCCAGAGCAGTGTCCTTTTTAAATGTAGACCAGGTGGACAAAGCTCTTCAGAACACCAGCCAGTGTTCTCTTTCCTAGACCCACAGCTGACTTCCTAGCACCAGAGGGGGTTAAACAGCACTCAGTCTCTACGTTCCTTTAGGGATGTCTGTACTCACACGGCTCAAGAGCAGCTGGATGCCTTCCTCCATGATACTAGACCAGATCTCTAGTAAACAGGCCCTCAGTCAGCATAACAGAATCCAGGTCTCTGCATTCAGGACCTCAGGTTGCGCACCTGAGGCCGTAAGACAGTTGCCTGGGAGGGCAACATGCCCTCTCCCAGGCTGGAACAATCCTATACAGGAAAGACCCAGCACCCAGTGTGCTCACTGAATATATACAATTACCCAGCTTGCCATCAGAGTCAGTCTCTCTGGGATAGTCTGAGGCTGTATCAATATTCATGCTGCCATCTGTATAGCTCCACACCTATCATCCAGAAACGTCTCCAGTTTCATAGAAAGCTATAGGCAGACTAGCAGCAGAGCACACAGAGCAGACCTAACTAAATGATTACAGCTCACTAAGTACAGTGAGCTAACTATGCTTTTTCCAAAAAAATAATTACAGCCACTCTGACTACAGAGTGACAACTAAATTTACCTATAAAAAACACAACTAATACTGTCTATTTAACCCTAGTACCTACATAGGGGGTTGCTACATTAACATATTTTCTTAAGTTAAAACCTAATCTCTTGCACTTTGGCTGATATCTTCTTAGGCCTCCAGTCCAAGCTGCCACTTTCCTAAATTTGTCTGCCTTCTCAATTCAATCTCTCTTGACCCAAGAAAAAACTGATATAATCCAAGGAGAAATCCCAGTACTAAATGCACCAACTTTGTCCTTTTGCCTCAGTTACAATAATGTCTTCTTTGCTATCTTTATCTCTCTCAACCTTGAGCAAACCTGCTACAACTTTCTTTGTACCCGCTCTTCTTTGACTTTCCTGACAAAATTAGTCAGCCAGTCCTTCTCCAAAAGTGATTTTCCATTAACTTTGAGCTGCCTCCCACCCGCCATATAAGGAAATGATGGGTGGGAGGCGGCACTTGTTCTGGGAGGACGTCATATAACGTCCTCCCACTCTAACCGATCAGTGGTGCACTGTGTCCCTGGCACACAGCAGATCACCAATCTTAGTATAGAACCGATGACACAGGCTCTGTCATGTGATCAGGTGTGTCCAATCACAGCTGATCACATGTAAACAAGGAAGTGGTGGTTATTGGCAGTCCTCTCCTCACGCTGACAGCGTGTGAGGAGAGGAGAGCCGGTAAGCCGCATTCCTCAGAGGGGACATCTACACTGATCATCTGGGCACTGATGATCAGTGCCCTGATTATCAGTGTAGCCCCATCAGTGCCACCTGTCAGTGCCCATCAATGCCTCATACCAGTGTCTACCAGTGCATATCAATGCCACATATCAGTGCCCATCAGAACTGACTTTCAGTGTCACCTATCAGTGTCAGTCAGTGCCACCTATCAGCGCCACTAATCAGTGCCACCTGTCAGTGCCAGGCAGTGCCACCTGTCAGTGCCGCCTATTAGTGCCCATCAGTGCCACCTATTAGTGCCCATCAGCGCCGCCTAACAGTTCCAATCAGTGCTGCCTATCAGTGCCATATATGAGTGCTGCCTTTCAGTGCCCATCAGTGATGCCTGTCAATACCCACCAGTGATGCCTGTCAATGCCCATCAGTGCCACCTACCAGTGCCTAATCATCAGTGCCACCTATCAGTGCCCATCGCTGCAGCCTCATTAGTGCACATCAGTGAAGGAGAAAAATTACCCATTTACAACATTTTATAACAGAAACTAAGAAAAAACTTTATTTTCACAATTTTTAGTCTTTTTTAGTTTGTTTAGCAAAAAAAATAAAAAACCCAGTGGTGATTAAATACCACCAAAAAAAATCTCTATATGTGTGAAAAAAAGATAAAAAAATGTGTTTGGGTATAGTGTTGCATGACCGCACAATTGTCATTCAAAGTGCGACAGCGCTGAAAGCTGAAAATTGGCCTGGGCAGGAAGGGGGTAAATGTGCCATGTAGGCAAGTGGTTAAACAAGTCATCATATGTCACTGAAAAAATTTTCTTTTCACTTTTCTCTGCTCTATAGTTACAGGATGATCTTTATTACTCCATATGCCTGTAAACTTTTTGAATGCCTTCTCCATAATGGACTGACCCTCTTTCTATCATCTAACTCACACCTTGATGTTCTTTAGCCTAATTTCCATTATGTGAAATCAATAGAAACTGTGCTCACCAAAGTAAACATTGACCTACACAGAACCAAATAAAATTGGGATTTTTACATGTTGCATCAAAATTTATCTCTATTTTTCTCACCAAGCCTTGTCTGCTGAACCTCTCTGGCAATCTCTTTATTGGCTTCTAGTCAGCTTGATAATAAAATCCAAGTCTATGTTTAACTTCAGAACATTTCACCACTAATGTTCCCCCATATTTATGACCTTGTAAACCAATATTCTCCTAACCATCCTCTCCACTTCTCTTCGAATTATTAATGTAGTTCTCACATATAACCTCTCCATGTTTCTCTAGGTCAGCCTCCATTCTCTGCAATTTTCTACCTTATCCTATTAGACTAGCCCACACTTTTAAAATGTTAAGACATAACTCATCAAAATCACCTTCTACTCTACCCAAGTAATTCTTCACCAAGAAGAATCAAATCGTCCCTCAAATCACCTGCGGTTATTACCATTTTCCTCACCAATTATGCCTAAGGTTTCTTATTTTCTGATATTGTAAATCTTTATGAGCATGGACTTCTTCTCCTCTTTCATCATGGCATAGTACTTGCTCATTCCTGTCCATCCTTCAATCTATTTGGACCGTTTTAACTTAAGCTTGTTACCAGTTGCATCATTAGCACCTTGGTGAATTCTATGTCCAATAACAATTACCTTTAGTGACCTGATCCTTCCTTAATTACCTAAGATGGGCCTTGGTTCCAGCTGTTTTGGCCACCCTTCGAATTAGATAAAGAAATTGGTTTATTTAGTTATATTACTTTTTCCCCAGCTTTTTAATGCATCCCTAATTTTAAAATGTAAGTATATTAAAGGAAACCATAGAGTTTAAAATTCATACTTATAAGGGAGCGGGCCGGCAGCTTTTGTATAAATCAAGGAATTGGAAGAGACTTCTAATGTTCTTTTAAATTTACATCAAGGGAAAATGTAGTAGACACAAGTTTTGATTCAAAATAAAGAAGCTGAGTGTTTGATGTAATCCTCACATCTAAATATATCTTACTTGTGCTTAAAGATAAACATTTTCACAGAAGCCTCACAAAATTCTCATATAAGATAACTGTTCTCCAAATATGTTTACTTGTTATACTGGCATCGTTGTGCTCCAGGTTTAACAGGTATGAGTAATATACATAAGTATACATACCCCCCCTTCCTGCACACACCTCCCATGTGCCATTTTTATTAAAGTGTAAGATGCACTCTTCTCTTCTTACTATCTTTTTTAATGCTTTTTGATTGTGCACTATAATTTGGCCCGTCAAAAGTGACACATATCTAAAGTAGCGTGGCACAAAATTGCCTGGGGCCTCTTTTGCATGGAAATGAATTTAGATGAAATATATAGTTTTGCCATTGTGTCCTTTTAACTATATGTCACATTTTTCACTAGGTGTCAGCTTGGTTAAGATCTGTATGCTAATTGTTAATGTTACGTGCTGCATAATAATAGTAGTTTAACTAGGGCTAAACCCCCCAAAATGAATACTTACTATGTAACTTAAGGAACAGAAATCTTCTCATCTTAAAACACTATTTTAGATTGCTTTACATCAGATGTACATTTTCAGCTATTGCTGGCACAACTTGCATGGCATCATGTATAGTTGTAACTTATGGCCTAGATCAGCAACCTTGTGTCACACCCCCCTCCCCCAACTCATGCACAGTATACAAAACTAATTTATCAAGGTTTCAAATATTTTAATATTAGCAAGATTATTTTTATAATTACAGAATTAAAATCAAAACCAAATTTAACCAATCTTAAATGAGAAACGTATCCTGTGAATAACACTCTTATTGTCCCAGAGCCTCAAACATATCTACCATTATATTTAATCTCCATTATATTTCCAGGCAGGCTGCACGTGCACAGCATGACTCATGTGAGCGATGCACTGACATCACTTTGTTTATACATATTCTGCTGGGGACTTTTCTATCATAGATATCTGGCAATCAATCAAAAAGCTCGCATTACTGGCCAATATCTGGTAAATTCTCCAGCTATGTTAAAAATCCAGTCCTCATATTGAGAACTGCATAACACTGTAGCTTAAAAAAACAGCTTTGTTGGGGAACACATGTGTAAATATCTTTAAATTTTGCTTCTGCCCATATTTCTTTGATTGGGGAGACAGGTAAAAATTTCAGTGTATGTCAATTGCCTTGCCATGCTGACATTGGATGTTTTGGATGGTTGCTTAAATACTGGACACTTTCACCCCCTTCCTGTATAGGCCAATTTTGAGCTTTTGGAGCTGTCGCTTTTTGAATGTCAACACTATACCCAAATGAATGAAATTACATTTTTACCATTTTTTTGAGACAGATAGAGCTTTTTGGTGGTATTGAATCACCATTGTTTTTTTATTTTTTTTTTTTTGCTATATAAGTGAAAAAATACCAAAAATGTTGAAAAAAATTTTTTTTATCTTAGTTTGTTATAAAATTTTGCAAATTTCTTCATAAAGTTAGGCCCCAATGTATTCCGCTACATTTGTTTGGTAAAATTAACCTATGTCAGTGTATATTATTTAGTTTGTGTGAAAGTTATAGTCTACTAACTATGGTATATACTGTATATTTGAAAAAATATATATATATATATATACAGTTGTGTTCAAAATAATAGCAGTCAGACATCACTAACCTGATAAATCACTGTTTTTGGTAGAAATGATATTTCTACATGGCAAATAATTTACTAGCAGGTGTAGTAGAGTAATAGAAATCCAACAGACCCAACAGTCATGACATGCATGCTGCTGATTCTGTGTAATTGAATCACTCATTGAAAGGGGCATGTTCAAAATAATAGCATTGTGGAGTTCTATTAGTGAGGTCATTCATTCTTTGAAAAACAGGTGGCAATTATTGCCCTTATTTAAGGAAGGAAGGCAGCAAATGTTGTACATGCTGGTTACAGTGCATTTCTTTCTGAAATTCTGAGGAAAATGGGTCGTTCCAGACATTGTTCAGAAGCACAGCGTACCTTGATTAAAAAGTTGATTGGAGAGGGGAAAACATATAAAGAAGTGCAGAAAATGATAGGCTGCTCAGCTAAAATGATCGCAAATGCTTTAAAATGGCAACCAAAACCAGAAAGATGTGGAAGAAAGCGAAAAAACTACCATTCGAATGGATAGAAGAATAGCCAAAATGGCAAGGACTCAGCCAACAATCAGCTCCAGGAAGATCAAAGAAGTTCTAAAGTTACCTGTGAGTACTGTTACAATTAGAAGACGCCTATGTGAAGCCAAGCTATCAGCAAGAAGCCCTCGCAAAGTCCCACTGTTGAAAAAAAGATATGTGCTGAAGAGGTTACAATTTGCCAAAGAGCACATTGACTGGCCTAAAGAGAAATGGCGCAACATTTTGTGGACTGATGAAAGTAAGATTGTTCTTTTTGGGTCTAGTGGGACAGTTTGTCAGACGACCCCCAAACACTGAATTCAAGCCACAGTACACTGTGAAGACAGTGAAGCATGGTTGCGCAAGCATCATGATATGGGGATGTTTCTCATACTATGGTGTTGGGCCTATTTATCGCATACCAGGGATCATGGATCAGTTTGAATACATCAGAATAGTTGAAGAGGTCATGCTGCCTCATGCTGAAGAGGAAATGCCCTTGAAATGGGTGTTCGAACAAGACAACGACCCCAAACACACCAGTAAACGTGCAACATCTTGGTTCCAGACCAACAAGATTGACGTTATGGAGTGGCCAGCCCAATCCCCGGATCTTAATCCAATAGAAAACTTGTGGGGTGACCTCAAAAATGCAGTTTCTGAGGCAAAACCAAGAAATAGAGAATAGAGTGGAATGTAATCCAATCATCCTGGGCTGGAATACCTGTTCACAGGTGCCAGAAGTTGGCAACACAGATATACAGCAGTTCTCAGAAACAGTGCTTATACAACTAAATATTAATTAAGTGATTCAAAAGAAAGCAAAATCTTCAAACATTTTTCAGTTTATATAGTGAATGTTTGAGTTTGTAAAGAAGAATACAAACACTGCTATTTTTTTGAACTGTCTAATATTCACTTTTCTTCAATTTTTTTAGAGGAACAACACAAATTTGATATATTTTTCTTCATGTTTTGATTTGGAATAGAATGTGTAGTGTTCCCAATGCATTTTTGTGTATGGAAATAAAAGCTGTTAGAACGATTTTGAGCTTTATTCACTTTTTTCAACACACTGCTATTATTTTGAACACAACTATATATATATATATATATATATATATATATTTAGAAAATTTCATTTGTTTACATTTTTTTTTACGTACTGTG